CTTGAACACACAAAAATTATAATACTAAGACCTCAATTTATAATAAGTCAAAATAATTGTCTTCAACGGACATTTCTTCAAAAACTAACATGTTTCGCCTTGCATACTTTCATTTCACCGTAGTTTGCCACGCATCCTGAGAAGCGGATAAGGACAAAAGACAGTTATGTATCTGTATCTTAAAATTCAAATCTTTTGACAAAAAAAGGCTTCAAACAACCCCGTCGATCTAAATTAAGAAAAAAACATTTCTAAGTTTTCCAGGCATCTCCTACATGGAGATTACTTCGATTAGGCTTCTCACAAGCTCCTGTCGAAGTCAGCAAAAATTCAAGAAAACTTAATTTTACTTAACATCTCAAATGAAAATTTGACGTCGAAATTTCCAGCTAACAGTAAGATGGGGTCAATGCTTAGACGGATGTTTAGCTCGTTAAATTAATAATGGTGTTAGGGAAGGAGAATATTCTTATAGAAGGACCATTTACCGCATGTATTGTAATTATTTAGTCGCAGAGATGTGAAGATTAGGATTAAGGTCTGAGTGCTTAGGGTGAAGATGATAAATGAGAGTTTTCGCTTGTGAGGAGGAGTTGGTGATATAATGTTATAGATGCTCATGCTCTTCAATATTGTGGATCCCATTATTTTAGAAAAGAAATCCGCCAAGTGTTTTCAATTTTTTGGTTGACAAGTGAATTATTTTGAAAAGAAATAAATTTGTGAATTTTCGATAACAAAGAAACACCATTATTGCATTTGGTTTACAATGTCAACATTTTTCCTGTGCATTTTTTATTTTAATTTTTGATGGACTAATTTTACCACCAACCTTGACTATTCTACCATGTAACTCGAATATAAGATATTATATTTATTTGTATTTTAAACTAGCTCTAAGCGCAAGATGTGCTTGAATGAAACTTTTCCATTATAAATATGCCTTTTTAAAAAATACCCTTCATATGAAAAAAGAAAATATTATAAAATTGTAATTCTGTCTTTTACACTTGACGCTGTAGGTTGCAATAAATATTTGCAATAAATATATATTATTATGATTAAACAAAATAAAATTGATATAGTATACTAAAAAATATAAACTTACCTTATTCAAAAAAATATATAACTTAATAAAAATATATATAAACTTACCACTACTATAAACAAATAGGTTGTTGAATGGTTTTGATATAAACTATTGTTGTTGGTCGAGAGGCAATTTTGTATCCGACCACCAAATGACTTCATTGTTTAAATACATATGGAAATATTATAATAAGGAAACAAATTTAGCAAAAACATTCACATTCACATTAAGCACTTTTTGTCCCTAAGTATATCCATTTTATGTCCCCATTAACAGAAAATGTAGTGCTGTATTGCAGAATCAAGAATATATAGAAGCATCAAGTGGTGGACAATATATACATACAGCTTATCTTAGTTGTTAAAGTGTGTTCAATTTGGCTAACACGTTACATTATGGTGATTGGTGCATCTCACATGCTTGCTAGTATTACTTTACATTTGTTTAGAATGTATGCTGTCTAACACAACTTCGACATTAACAACTTCCTTGATATATATAGTTTTATATAAACTATTATTTGCTTCCAATCATTGATGATTTTGATATGCTACATTTTGCCGTCTCTTAGGCTTCTCATTTTCTCTAATAGTTTTTTTTTTTTAAAGGCAAAAGATTTATTAAATTAAGACTAAGTATAAGGAAAGATAAGGTTGTCCAAGAAGCTACTGAGAGAGTGTTGAACTGACACCAACAGTATGCAGTGAACATGGGATGGATCTGATGCAGCATAAGAAAATATATGCTGCAAAGAATCACGGCACCATTGAACTGGATGATACTGAAACGTACCAACAACCAACCACCTCCTCCTGCATCCTGCACAATCCCAGTGCAGACGCAACACAGAGTCAACCACAAAAGCCTGCTATCCTGTAAAATCACACAGAAAAACCAGCAGAGAGAAAAGCCTCTAGAACTCATACCTCCAACAATTCAACAAGGATCCATGAAATTCCACCAACAAAACAGCAAGAAAAGAGCCAGACTCCATCACCAACTGTCACACCAGACCAGCAGCTACTAAGACATTTCGTAATATTGGACATTCAATGGTGATCAACTACCGCACCGAATTCAGGAAATCCAAAGGGTGGGTAAGCCATTGGTGAAGAGGGAAAATGAAACCTTTTACTTTGCTTCTAAGCCAATTCCACGACGAGATTTTGATTTCTTTGATTCCAATCTTCCGATAGCCCGATTTTATTCTTAAAAATCTTTAAGTTGCGATCTTAAGATAACATCCAAATGCTCCCAAATCAAATGACACTTAAATAATCTTATTTTTTCCTATTGCTCCTTATCAAACCTGCAAATTGAGAAAAGTTCGCCAATACAGAATTAAGTAGGGTCAATGGCTGATTTAGCCACAACAGAATCTTCATACCAGACTGGCGAATTTTTGGACATTCGAAGAAGCATTGAGACAAAATTTTCCTCCGATCCACATTCGTTTGTGCAACCAGCTTGAGATCCATTCAAGACACCTCGTTTAACCAAATTATCCATAGTGGGTATCTTGTTTTGAAACAACCTCCAAGCTAGCACTGCCACCTTCAGAGGAATCCCCACATTCCAAGTGACTGATAATTTCCTAAGGTCACCATTTGCTGATCCATCCATTAATACTGAATAAGCTTCTTTAACACAATACTTATCTTAAGACCATAACCACTTATCCGCACAGTTCAATCTCACACGATTTCCTTGAATTTTTATTTTAAGGCCCGCTTCTGAAATCAATTCTTCTCAAGATAAACTCCTACTCCAACTAAATTTCCACTTTTGCTCCTCCCATGCAATCTCTACAACTTCCTTTAACAGTTGCGTTTTTATCTTCCGATATCAAAAATAATTCAGGATAACTACTAACAAGAGTACTCAAACCAAACCAAGGGTTTGGTGAAATTTTTCTCCATTTCCAAGATCTACACTCATCTTTTTAGACAGCCAATTTGGTCTAAAGCCCCAAAAACTACACTTTCAATCAATGATGCCTTTCTACCATGTTGAGCATAATCTAGCCTCTCTACTTACTCCACCCTTTCTAAGGCCATATTTACTCTCTAATACTCTAACCCACAAACTGTCATTTTCGCATCAGAGTCTCCATTCCCATTTACCTAAAGTTAGATTAAATGCTCTTAATTTTTAGACCAGCCCACCCTCCTTTTTGCCTTGGCAAACTTTATCCCATTGAACTCAATTTACCTTCCTAGTTTCCTCACTTCAATCCCCGTGAGAATTTTTTTACAAATAGACTTGATTTTGGAAATAATAGTTCGGAGCTTTAAAGAAAGAAACGAAAAAGACTAGTAATCCATACAAGATCAATTTCAACAAGACAATCTTGCCACCAATTGACAAGTGTTTGTTATTGTTAGAAATTTGAGTATGATAATCCTGGATAACTTCAAGGAATCGTGTTCGTACACTTTCCGAACAAAGTATTTCGATCCTATTATTGCCTGGGTTCACGAAATCTTTGTGGGGATAATTCTTGAAGAACAATCTGCTTCTGGCAATAGAGAACAGATCAGGAATGTAGAGAGAAAGTATGGTTTTTGTTAAGTGTTTTTAAACTGAGGCCAAATGACTCCTTATATAGGAGATTAACAACAGAAACCGAAAAGACACAACTGTTCAGAAAACGGTTAAGTCGGTTGGGAAAGGGTTCAACTGTTCAGAAAACTTTCGAACGGGTTCAACTGTTCATAAATTTCGAACGGGGCGCTGCCCCGCACCCCGCCCACTAACCTGGCAACGGGACCCCAGCCAAGGGCTCTGCCCCTTGGAACCCCAACGGGGCTTCGCCCCGCACCCCACCAGAGGCTTCGCCCCTCGGAACCCCTTTTCAATTATTCGCATTCAATTATACGTTGGCTCGACGAACGTGCACTCCGCACTACCCTAACTCGTTTCCAAACTTAATGCATAATTGCATCGGCTTACAGTAAATCACATTACTACTAAAATACATTGATCATACTAAAATCACCAACAGTTATTCCATATGTGTAATCTGTTTCTAATAACATTCAGCAGCGGTTTCCACATCGCCTCTCTACGAGGGTCAACACCAGTTGAGAGGCCCAAATATTTAAAGGGTAACAAACCGACTTTACAGTGTAGGACAAATGCTGCCTCTTTCGGTCAAATTTGTTGAATGTTAACACCTACTACTAGACTTTTAAAGAAATTAGCTTTTAGCTCGGACACCAATTCAAAAAACTACAATGTCACCTAATGACCTATATACATTTTCAGCTTTTCTTCCCCATGAACATTGTGTCATCTGCGTATTGTAAGGGCAAGATAACCACTCCTACATCACCAAAATGATATTCCTCGAGGAATTCATCTCTCCTGCTTTAGACATCATCAAGTTCAATCCTATGCTGCCAACAGCCCACTAATAGTTCAGTAGCTCTTTGATTTTTTTTTTCTTTTCGTGCTGTATATTGGATGAAGCAGTTTCTTCCCACTAAAGGTCTGTTTTTCCCTAAAATCAGCCAAACCTCAGCCCTTTAATTTGTTACTCTTCCAGGTGTGTTTTGTGTTATGTTTCCTAAATTCATTTTCTTCTGCTTTTCATCAATTAGCTCATAATCATAGACAGCAATGAGGAATGGCAAAAATATCTCAAATAAAACTCATTTAGACGTAGTGATTACATTAAGCAAAGAACTTTTTCCACTACAAAGTCACTTTGAAAGTACACTTCTAAGTAAATCACAATTCATGCCGTTTAAAACTATACTTTCAGATAAACTATCAACATCAGTGGAGTTCATTTACCTATTCATGCTATACTATACCATGTAAAAATTTATTTACAGTTATTTTCATCTATGAATCAATATACACCTCATCAGAAAAACCTATATACCAATCACATTCAGCACGTTCCTTAATCAAACAATCCATCAACACGATGAACAACAACGAAATCACTACGATACATATTCGGAACAACAACCTTTACACCGTTAACCAATCGAAGACGAGGAAAAACACTTACTCTGATATCAAATCCCTCAAAAAGAGTCGGTAACAGAGTATCATTGGGAAGACGAATCAAGTCACGCCACGTAACCAATCCGATAACGGTGTGCTTCCTGAAAACAGTTAAGTCATAATCAGTTACATTCCCGAGGGATTCATCAGATGGCGCGAAGATAGTTAGTTTTTTCTTAGCGCTGCCGGATGGTTCTGAGGATAGAGATTCGAAAAACGCAGCGGTGATGGAGCAGTTGTTGGATCGGAGGATACGAAGGAGAGGTTCGGGGATAGGTTTGGGGAGAAAAAGGGAGGAAGAATTGAAGAAATCGTGGATGGGGAGAATGAGTAGGGAGGGTTTTTTGAAGAGAGGTGTTGTTGTTAAGACGGTTACGTTGTTGATGGAGAGGTGAGGGTAAGAGGAAGTGATGGTGAGAGGTGAATTTGGGAGGAGAGTGGGTAATTGAGTGGAGATTGGGAGATATGTGAGGTAATGGAGAGGGATTTTTGACGGGATGATGTGGTATTGGAGGAGGGAGAGAGGGAGGGGGCCACGGCGGCGGAAGGTGTTGTCGGAGGGGACGAATATTGTGGCGGAGGTTGTGGGAGGGAGGGAAGGGGAAGCTAGGCGAAGTGTGAGGGCCATGGAAAGGAAGTTGGAGTTGGTGAGGGTTTGGGTGGCGGTGGAGTAGAGGAGTTCGGTGGAGGAGGTGGTGGTGGGGAAATGGAGGAGGGTGAGTGTGAGGGTGAGGAGGAGGAAGAGGGTGGTGGGGTTTTGAGTCATTGGGAGTGAGATTTTGGGTGTTTCTTTGATTTCTTGACAATGGAGTTAAAAATGGAGTTTGTCAAGGATGGGTGGAAGAAATTGAGATTTGGGCGGGAGTTATATGGATTGCAGGAGAAATTATGAGATTTACTAAGCTCTTCTAGAGTTGGCTTCCCTTAATCTATAATCTATAACATATATAAAGAGGTAATATTTGTTTTTGGTGTAACTTTTTTTTATACCAAATTTATCTTTATTTTAAAATCTATAACTTACACAATAACTTCCATTGAACTACTACTATCATCTTTCATATAACTCTTTATTGAGCAACTTTAATGCATGGTTGTTAAACCAAAATTCTTTATAGTTTACGTTAGTAATAAGGAATTTGCATTATAGTAGTGCTGACATGGCATATGGGATGCTCTAAAACTAGTTTACGTGCTCTAGACAAACAACGTACTCTAACTCATCATTTAACAAAAATAATACATTTTTATTAATTATTTAAAATAAATAATAGATTTTTATTAACCATTTAATACCATGTGGGGTCAAGTTTTGGTTTCTTATAGACAACCACCATTAAAGTAAAAACTATTCAAATCAACTATACATTTTTTAAATCCTACAAATCACTTTAGACCCACAAAAAGTATCTTAGTTTACCCATTTAGTTTACTCCCACTAAAGATGCTCTTAATAATTTCCCACATAACTTCCATTTAAAATTAATATTAAATAAAAATATATCATTTATATTTATATGTGTGCAATAAAAAAGCGGACAGACGGGCACGCGAGTGCCCTTCTGGACGCTAGTAATATTAATAACAATAATAATAATAATAATAATAATAATAATAATAATAATAATAATAATTATTATTATTATTATTACTATTATTATTATTATTATGAGATTTACTGATCTATATTTATATATAAAGTGAAAATTTAATTTTGGTGTAGTTTTTTTTTCTTTCAAATATACAAACAGTTTTTATTTTACATTTTAATTTTTCTTTTCAGTAAAGGGTAGTTATGTGATAATTTATTATCTTTTATATTATTATTTATTATTATTATTTTAAAAATAATAAATAATAAAATTTATACTTATATATAAAAGAAAAACATGATTTTGATGTTGTTTTTTTTGTTACAAATTTATTATTTTCAATTTTTATTTTAAATTTTAATTTCTCTTTTTAACAAATAGTAGTTATGGGATGATTTATTATTTTTTATACCATTATCTATTACTATTATTTTAAAAATAATAAATAATAAAATAAAAATTAATTAAAAATAATAATATAATTTATATTTTACTCGTGCGAGTATTATAAAAAGCGGACAGACGGACACGTGAGTGTCTAGACGTGCTCGTCTGGATGCTAATAATCTATAACAATATATAAAGGCAATAGTTAGTTTTGGTGTAGCTTTTTATTTTCCAATTTTGTCCAATAATTCACACTATTATTCCATTAACACCCTTTACAAAAATCAACTACATAGACGGTTAAAAAACTTCTACCACCTCACATTTTAATTAAAATTACTTTAAAAACTATTTTATGGTTATATCCTCATCTTTAGTAACAAATAATTTATTAATTAAATTAATTATTAAATAAGAAATAATAAATAAAAATAATAACTTTTAAAAATAATTAACTGCTTTATAACCCACTAATCTCAAGAATCATGTAACAACTTCCGCATTTAATTAAATAAGAAATAATAATAAAAAAGTAATAACTTTTAAAAATAATTAACTGTTTTATAACCCACTAATCCCAAGAATCATGTAACAACTTCCGTACTTAATTTAATTAATTAAATAAGAAATAATAATAAAAAAAATAATAGTAACTTCTAAACATGATTAACTGCTTTATAGCCCACTAATCCTATTATTAAATGAAATAGAAGCATATAACAACTTTCGTACTCAACTAATATTACTATATTTAATTATATATTTAATTGTTTTAATTTTGAAGATTTATAATGTATTTTATTTATGACTAAATTTATCCAAAGCTTTTTTTTAATAAAACTGAATGATAATGATTATAAATTCTGTATACTCTAAGTTTTGATAAATTACATACTTAAAATAATCACAATTACATATTATCTTTTAAAAAATTAAATAATTATTGATCATTATCATCAATAATTTTTATCATACAATTTAATGAATTGTACGGATAAGTGAATTTTAATTGCCTAAAAAAATTAGTTGTAGTTCTTAAAATACAGTTTTTGAAAATATGATTAACCAATATTTTATTTTATTTTAAAAACAATTTTTAAAAATTTTGAAAAATCTTAGTCAAATGTAAACCGTCAATTACTTTAAATCCAACGATAGAGGATAAGCAATTTCTTCATTTCTCGCTCAGAATGATATATAAATACCCCTTTCATCTTCTACTTTTTCACATTCAAAATTCAAAAGAATAAACAGTTTCTCAAAATTTCTTACAAAAATGACAAGTCGTGAAAGGGTATTAAGGGACCCAGAAAGGGAGGAGCAAAGAGGCACATGAGGATTCTGCACGGCAACATTTGGGGAATTACAAAGCCAACGATTCGTAGATTGCGAGGAGAGGAGGTGTCAAGAGGATAAGTGGTTTGATCTATGAAAAAACTAGGTTATTTCTCAAGGTTTTCTTGACAAAAATCATTCATGATGTTGCTTCATATATTGATCATGCAAGAAGGAAGGTTGTGACTGTCATGGATGTTGTGTATACTCTTAAAAGACTAGGAAGAACTGTATACGATTTCAGAGGTTGAAGAAGATACTCTCTTTTATTTATTATTATGTTATCTTTTTATCGTCTAAGTTGTGTAATTTGTATTCTAAGTAATAGTCGGTGATTATACAATGATCACCATCTAAGTTATCTAATTTGTATTTGTATTTTCAAAAATGTTTATTTTCAAGTATTAGTTGGTGATTATGCAACGATAATCTATAATCTATAACAATATATAAAGGCAATAGATTGTTTTTGTGTAGCTTTTTTCTTTCCATATTTACCCTTTTCAATTTTATTTTTTTAAATTTTTATTTTTTTTCTCACAACGGCGGTTACACAAAGGTTTATTAACCGCCAACAGTTTATTATTTTTCATATCATTATCTTTAATTATTTTATAAATAGTTTATAATTAAATTAAAATTAAATAATTTATCTAGGGAACATGGAATTTTAGACTGACCTATTTTTATTTCTATTTTATCCTTTAAAATTTAATTTTAGTTAATTTTAAAAACAAAAATACAAATAAAAAAATGAAGTTTTTATTAAATGATAGTAGTTATTTTGAATCTATAACAATATGTAAAGACAAAACATCTTTTTGGTGTAGCCTATTTTCTTTCATCTTTTACCCTTTAAAACTACTTAGAAGTTACACAAATAAAAGTTAACTACTCCCTCCATTTTATATTTGAATATTGTACAAAGTAATTAGTTATTTGAAAAGAAAACTCACTTTAACTTCTAATTAAAAATTATATTTAAATAGCTTCTTCTTATAATTTATGTCTTTCATTTCTAACTCATTAGGTCCATAGAAATCAAAAATAGAGAAGACGGAAGATTGCATGAGAAAAATTGGAGTCCAAATAATGTTCATGATGATGGTAGAAAAGAGAAATCTACAAGTTGCAGATGACATAATATGAATTGCAAATTGTAACACCCCCTTTCTATGCCCCCAAATAATACAATTAATCATTTAGGCATAAATTTAAAATTTCATCAGAGTACATTTGCAACATGGCATAAAAGGGAAATATCACATTATCATAAAAATTTCAACACATACAACACCTGCTCAACAGATATGCAACAACGGAATAACACCCACAAGAAATATTTAGAACAAAGGCGGAAATATCCAAATATTTCATAATTCACCAAACATATATTCACATATACAGTTATCATTCATCATGTTTTACAAAACATATCAACAACAGATACATACTCAGATGTTTCACAAAAGAATCAAAATAAATCCTATCTACCCGGTGCTACATATCAGAGCCGACCGACCAAAAAGGGAAGAAGTCACGCTTCACAAAATACCTCCAGCAATCTAGTCTGCAATGCCTCATAGAGCATTAAAAGAAACAACAGAAGGGTGAGAAACGATATCATAATAACAATGCATAAAAACATATATATATATATATATATATATATATATATATATATATATATATATATATATATATATATATATATATATATATATATATATATATATATATATATATATATATATATATATATATATATATATATATATATATATATATATATATATATATATATATATATATATATATATATATATATATATATATATATATATATATATATATATATATATATATATATATATATATATATATATATATATATATATATATATATATATATATATATATATATATATATATATATATATATATATATATATATATATATATATATATATATATATATATATATATATATATATATATATATATATATATATATATATATATATATATATATATATATATATATATATATATATATATATATATATATATATATATATATATATATATATATATATATATATATATATATATATATATATATATATATATATATATATATATATATATATATATATATATATATATATATATATATATATATATATATATATATATATATATATATATATATATATATATATATATATATATATATATATATATATATATATACATAATACCCAATATACGTCTTTCGCATTCTCACCGCAACTCACCTCGTCATACCGTACATCGCAATGTATTCACATTATCTATTTACAAATAGAACATCATGCATATACAATATGCGTCAACAATGTTTATATCGGTTCATGAACACACAAAACATACATATTCATATATTCACACATACATGTGTCTTCAAGCATAC